TTCTTTACCTTTCTGTTGAGGATATATTATACATACAATCTATGGAATTTTGCCCTATGTAAATTGCAACAGACTGTATTTTCAAAGGTTATAAGTTGAATTTTAGCAACTGGAAAGATTGCATTAAGAAAATAAGACACCAGCCCTAGCCGGTTTGGCTCAGTGGATAAAGCATTGGCCCTGGACTGAAGGGTCCCAGGTTTGATTCCGGTCAAGGGCACCCTGGTCAGGCTGTGTGTGGGAGGCAATCAATCAATGTGTCTCTTTCACATCAATCTCTTCCTCTCTCTGTCTGTCTCTCCCTCTCCCTACCACTCTCTTTAAACATCCTCAGGCGAGGATTAACAAAAGAAGGAAAATAAGACCTCACTCTAAAAGGAACATCATGGGTGCGTGTCCCGGTAATCGGAAGTGTGTGCTTTCGGCTGGTGCTGCGTCCACAGTAAATCTCTACCCCTCACCGTCACAGCGTGAGTTAAAACCCATTTGTTCCGTCCTCCAGCAGCGAGGTTTGTGGGGATGGGACATCCCGCTCCCCCCAGCTGAGGTGATGGAAACTTTGCTAGAAAGTTCTGCACTGTGCTGGCTTTTTAATGTGTTGCAACATTTGGCCTCCTTCTCCCAGTGTTTTCATAACAGCGGTGCCTTTTCAGGAACTTAATCCCGTGGGAGGAGGAAGGAAGAGAAAGAAATAGGGTGTTAGCGGTTAGTGGGGAACAACAGTCCAGCGATGGGTCCTTCCCAACACACAGGTGTGCCTTAGTGACACCCGCCTTCTAGGCAGAACTGCCACCGGGGCGCCGCTCCGCCCCTGCTGGCCACCTCTCCCCCTCCTCCCTGCAGCAGGGACAGGACCGGAGAGCAGAGCCAGCTGTGGGCTCCGTTTGGGTTCCCTGCCATTGATTGCCTGGGGACAGAAGCGGGTGGACGCCTGGGTTTGCAGGGACCAGCCCCGCCCCTCCTGCAGGACGGTGTCCTGTCACGTGTAGTTCACCCGGAATGTACGCATCTGTGATGTCACGGGCCTGTGCTGGGGGTTCACGCAGACGACGCCTGGAAGGATGTGATCTCTTCGCGTGACACAGGAGTGAGGCTTCTTCCCACTGCGTTTGGGCCGGTCATACGCGCCCGGGGTGACCACGGCCGGCCCGCGGTAACCCCCCCGCAGCCAGCCCCGCGCAGGCACGTACGTAAGCCCTTACTTTCCTGGAGCAGCGGAGAACGGCGCCACTGGGCGCTCAGAGAAAAGTGGTTGTGAAGCTGCACGAGGTCATTTCTCTCCGGAAAGTGCCCGGGCCGGTCCTTTGAGAGACCGGGGCGCAGGTCCTGAGGCCGCCGGTCGGCGTCGGGCTCAGACCTTCCTCTCCGAGCAGCTGGAGGGCGCCGGCGGAGCCACGGGAGCTCAGGAGCCACGCAGGTGCTGTCTGTACCAGCGCTGCCCCGGAGGCGGTTTGAGTGCCACTGTGTACAACGCTCCGTATAGGATTAACTCTTCTCATCCTTCCCCGACCCCGCAGCTGTGATTTCAGCCACGTGCAGTGTCAGCCAAATCAGCCGAGAGAAATGTTTCCCGGCACCAGAGCTGATACACAACGTCCCTCAGGCCGGAGCCGAGCCAGGGCCTTGGGCGCCCACGTCCGTCACAGCGATGCTGTGTGTTAGGGGGCGAGCCGGTCGGTGGTGCGGGGCCGTCTCAGTGCCCCCCGCCTGGGCACCCTGCGCTCCCCGCCCCACGCACAGGGAGAGGGGGACGCATTAGGACAGGTCTGGGCGCCAACCGTGAGAACAAGCCGCCCGCCAGGAGCCCTTTGCTGTTCTCTAGAGCGGGGACTGGTGACCGTCAGCCACTGTGAGGGAGAGAGCAGGGGTGTGTGTGTGTGTGTGTGTGTGTGTGTGTGCGTGTGCACACATCACACGTCTGAGCCAGCAGCCGCATCGCTGTGGTGTGACCTGGTGCGGTCTTCACACCTGGTCTTCATCACGGCCTGTCCGCTCGCCAGGCCCCCGTCCCGATGACTCACGCGGACTTGCTGTGGGCGTGATTTACGGCCTTCGCTGTCCTCGCCTCCTCCCGGGAGCTCTGTGAGCGGCGGCTCGGAGGGCGAGGGGGCCCGCGCGGGGCGGGTGCGTGAAGGGCCGGCCGGCCGGTGCGGGCAGTCTGCCTGGGGACCCAGGGCCTGGGACCCGCGTGGGGTCTCGTGTCCCCGAGAACCTGGGTCCTCTCAGAGCTCCTGGACTCAGTGTCTTCCGTTGGTCGGCAAACGAGGCTCGCGAGCCACGTGTTTGCCGCTCTGTGACTAATGAGTTTGCGGGACCACTGCCCTAGGGAAAAACACTTTAAAAACGTTTTAATGATGTACTAATGTCTTTCACCTGAAGCCAAGACTTGTGTTCATTCTTGTGGGGTTTTCTTGTTTGGTATTTTTTTTTTTTTTTTTTTTTTTTTTTTTTTTAGCAAACTGAATCTTTTCTGGAATATGATAGGGCCTAAACCAACCAATTAACTACTGAATAATATATTGCCGTCTACAACCTATGTCTAGGTTCCTACATGCAAAAATTACTTTGGAAAACACATCAGTTTGGAATCAATAATTTTCTAAACAAAAAGGGATTTGAGTAATGTCTACTAGTAATGGACAGTAAAATGTAAAATCAGACTTTTGGATGGAAAGGTGTTTATAGAATATAAAACGTGTGGGTCATAAGCATCGTCCTGCTTGGTCTTATCTTACTTGGTAAGATAATACATTCAACCCAAAGTTTAAATGTATTTTAAATATTTATTAGATTGTAGGAATAATTTTTAAAGTAAGTTTTTAAAACATCATTATGTATTTTTTCATTTAACCCACCTCCCAACACTCTGTGTATTTGGTTGTTATGAAAGTGCAGTGCCATCAGGACTCTACTGGACAGATCAATAATTCCTTGTTCTGTGAACACGGCACATGACATCCGCGCCCCACACCCAGGGAACTCCCCCGGCCCCGAGGTTCCCACTCGGGGGCCGCTCAGTGGTCACAGGGGGATCTCTGTCGGAGCCTCAGATTTTCAGAGAAAACCAAGAACTTGACCCCCCACCTCTCGGCCCGTTGAAACGGAAGGCTTGGGCTTAGGAGGGTGGGAAAGACACTCCTGCATAAATAAATCACGTCCCCAAATATTTCTCCTGCTGTGGGGGTCGGGCTTGCAGCAGCTTCTATCTGCCACGTGTTTCTAATAAGGAAGAAAGTCAGACAAACGAAGGAACTCTTGTTCTGCTCTTAGGATAAGCCCACCTCATCCCACAGAGCAGCCCGCGGCTCCCTGAGGGCAGAGTGACTATTTCAGACCCGTTTTATTTTTTTAATGTATTTTTATTGATGCCAGAGAGGAAGGGAGAGGGAGAGATAGAAACATCCGTGATGAGAGAGAGTCATGGATCGGCTGCCTCCTGCATGGGCCCCCTGACTGGGGATCAGGCCCACAACCCGGGCACGGGCCCCGACCGGGAATCAAACCATGGCCTCTGGTGCCTAGGTCTACGCTCAACCCCTGAGCCACGCCCGTGGGGCTCATGCCATTTCTAGAACCACGTCCCGTCCCACTTTCCCGGTGCCCGAGCAGGTGCGGGAGCGTCTGCCACTCCCCAGGCCGGGGGTCCAAGGAGACACCTCCCACGTCCACAGAGACACCTCCCACGTCCACGGAGACACTCCCATCTCCACAGAGACACTCCCACGTCCACAGAGACACCCCCACGTCCACAGAGACACCCCCACGTCCACAGAGACACTCCCACATCCACGGAGACACCTCCCACGTCCACAGAGACAACCCCACGTCCATAGAGACATCTCCCACATCCCCGGCTGCTCCTCAAACCCCATCAAGGAGACGTACCACCAACGGGGCCTTATTTTCTCTCCACCTTTCGGAGAACACCTCGTTCTGTCCACTGAGAGGTTTTTTAAACTGTATACCAATAGCAACATACAAACCCCAAAATATCCCACAGTATTCTTACACGGAAACAAAGAGCAGGCTAAGGGAGACGTATCAAAAGCAACGTACACGCTTCTGTTCAGCTTCCTGGCCTAGAACTCTATTTTGAGACCGAGTCGCACGGAAAAGGCTGAACGCACACTGTTTACTGCTTACAAAAGCCCAATGGTGAGAGGGAAACGTGCCAGAAATAGGAAGGCAGGGAAACTGTCATTTCAGCAAAAACAAAACAAAACAAAACAAAAGAAAAACCAACAATAGAAACCGCAGCAACTCACTGATGGGTGTGGACTAGGAAGCAGGGTTTTGGAAGAGAGAATGCATGGGGCTTGGGAACCGGGCCTGTAGCTGTGAATACCGACTGCTCAGCAGGAGCGCTCACGTCCCTTCTCAGCCCGTCCAACGGGGCAGCGAGGGCCTGGGCGGCAGGACCGGGGGCAGCCGCACGTGCGGAGATTTCACGCACACGCTGTGGCTTACCCCTGGCGCAGACAGCTTTCACCGGGAAGCCGTACAGTGTGTGACCATGGCCGTGTGCTCCGGAGAACAACGTGAGACCTACCATTTTCTGGAAATTTACGTAATTTTATTAAAAAAAAAAAAAAAAAAAGGGTCATTTTTTAAACTAACAAGATAAAATAAATACACCGCTGAGACAAAGTGGGGAAGATGAGATACACCCCGGGCATTTCTCCGGGAGAGAAGCGTTTCTGCCCATCGGAAGCGTCTCCCTCCTAAGACCGACCAGGAACCGGCCGGGCAGAGAGCTGCCCGGCGCCGTCCCCGGGCACCAGGCTCCCTCCGAGGGCTCCGCGCGAAGCCTGCCCCGCGAGCAGGTCCTTCTGCAGAGCGACACCTGCTTTCCCGCGGAGCCTCGTCTGAAGCTAATCCCAGCCTCGCCTTCAAATCGGGACCTGAACCCACAGCCCTGGTCCCGCTCCTCCCAGCGCCAATGGGAACTCACGCCCCGTCCGAGCGCCCGCCGGGCGGTGAGCAAGAACGCACGCACTCACTCATTTCGCTCCAGGTTCACGATCAGCTCCTCGCTCTGCCCTTGTATCCGCACCGTCAGCACTTCCGGGTGATCCTGAAAGAGAAGCGGGAAGGGACCCTTGAAGGACATTTCGCGTGGACTCGCCAACATTTGAATCTGCTGCTCCACAGGCAGAGTCAGCGGGGGGGGGGGGGGGGGGGAGAACAAGCCTTTTTTAAAAATAATATGTATTTTATTGATTTTTTACAGAGGGGAAGGGAGAGGGATAGAGAGTTAGAAACATCGATGAGAGAGAAACATCAATCAGCTGCCTCCTACACACCCCCCACTGGGTATGTGCCCGCAACCAAGATACATGCCCTTGACCGGAATTGAACCTGGGACCCTTCAGTCCACAGGCCAACGCTCTATCCACTGAGCCAGACAGTCAGGCAGAACAAAGCTCTTTGAGTCGATGCCAAGAGCCAGCTCCCCTCAACACAGCCGGGTGCAGACTCACCCTCTGGCCAGGCTCCGGCCGCTGTGACTCTGACCTCTCCACGCCCTCCCTCCGGCCTCACCCTGCGGACCCTCCAGACGCTACACGCCTCCCCGCAATCGGCGCTTCCTCAGTTTCCCTGCTCCACAGGGCGCCTCTCTCCCCCCACGGCTCAGGTCAGAGAGCAGAGGTCCCCCCGAAGCCTGCCGGCCCTCACCGGCTCCATCTCCTCCCTCACGGGCCCCGTAGCTCTGCCTCCGAATCACACCTCTCAGGGCCTGGGGCCCGGCCCAGCTGGGACCTCAGTCACTCTCACCAGGATGACTGCAAATCCCTCCCACCCGGGGTCCGTCCATCTCTGCCTTGGCTCTCTGCCCATCATTCTCCGGCGGAGGCAGAGGGCGGTCTTTAAGAACACCATCCCGCACTTGCCAGGTAGCTCAGCTGGTTAGAGCCGTGGCTGGCAAACTGCGGCTCGCGAGCCACATGAGGCTCTTGAGTGTGGCTCTTCCACAAAACACCACGGCCTGGGTGAGTCCATGTTGAAGAAGTGGCGTTAGAAGAAGTTTAAGTTTAAAAAATGTGGCTCTCCCAAGAAATGTCCATCGTTGGGCTGTTGATATTTGGCTCTGTGGACTAAGGAGTTTGCCGACCACTGGAGAGCATCATCCCCAACACGCTAAGCTTTCAGGTCCAATCCCCCTCAGGGCACAGGCAAGAATCAACCAAAGAATGCATAACAACAACGCATAAATGTCTCTCTCTCTCAAGTCAGTAAAGATAAACTAAAAACACAACCTGGTCAGCCCACCCTCGCGTGGAAGAAGCCTGCACTCGCACCCCAGCTACAAAGACCGTGAGAGGTCAATGCGTGAACCTGGCCTCCAGGGCGTCCGTGGCCTGGCCTCGGCCCTCCACACCCACACGCCCCACCTTTTCCCAGCCACGTGGGCCTCTCCACTCCCCACACCTACCGCACCCTCAGCAGCCCTGACACAGGTCCCGCCTCTGGCACAAGGCCCCGCCCCTGACACAGGCCCCGCCCCTGACATAGGCCCCGCCTCTGACCCTCGGCCCCGCCCTAGTGCTGGGGAGGTTTCAGTCCAGTTCAGACAGCCCACCACCCGCTGGCACCATCGCTGCTAACTGCTGTGGCATCGGTTTTGCCTGCCTTTGCCTTTGCCCGTTTATCGGTAGTTTCCTAAGATTCCACATTTGAACGGCACCCAAACTCCAGTGTTCCAGAGACTTGTTTATAACAGCGTTTCAGCTACACGGAATTAACTGACCACATGCTAAGTTTTAAGAGAAAATGGGGGGGGAAAGACAGAAAACAGATTGTAAATTCCAATATCCAACATTAAAATAATTAGCTAAGTGCAACAAAATTTAAACAAAAACCACAACTGCAGGTCCCCGGGGTTCTGAGAGCATCGCACGCCCGCCTGCATGACGAGGCCCTGGACGGGGCGGGAGCTGAGGGGGGCGGCCATTGGACATCTCCTTGTAGTTTCCCTGTTAAGCTTGTAGCCATTGGCCACATATGGGCGTTTAAATTAAAATTAATTAAAATCAAGTTAAGTTTTAAAATCGGTTCATCATTCGCAACAGACACATTTCAAGGCTCCGTGGAAGCAAACTGTGGTTTCATGGCAGAGGGGGAATAGTTCCACCTTCCCAGGAAATTCACTGAAATTACCACAGTCATCGGACATCTCTGACTCAGCAAAAAGACCAAGATTGCGTAGCCCAAGTGCTGCCTGAGTAAGAGACTAGTTCGGATATTAATGCCCAAAGCGTTGTTAAAAAAATATGCTTTACGAAGATACTGCTCAATCTTAACGGATGGGAGATGTTATTATTTTAAACTAGGGGCCCGTGCACCAGTGGGGCCCCTCAGCCTGGCCTGGGGGATTGGGCTGAAACCAGCTCTCTGACATCCCCTGAGGGGTCCTAGATTGTAAAAGGGTGCAGGCCAGGCTGAGGGACCTCACCGGTGCAAGATCGGGGCCAAGGAGGAACGTGGGAGGGCTCCAGGGTGTGTCTGGCCCATCTCACTCAGTCCCAATCAGCCAGACCCCAGCAGCAAGCTAACCTACTGGTCAGAGCATTTTCCCCCTGGTGGTCAGTACACATCATAGTGAGCGGTTGAGTGGCTTTAGCATATCATCAGCATATTATGCTTTGATTGGTTGAATGGCTAATCGGACAACCGGACACTTAGCATATTAGCATTTATTATATAGGAGATATTTTTATTGATTTCAGAAAGAGGAAGAAAGAGAAATAGAAACATTGATGAGAGAGAAACATTAATCGGCTGCCTCCTTCACGCCCCCTACTGGGGATCAAACCTGCAACCCAGGCAAGTGCACTGACAGGGAGTAAAATTGTGACCTCCTGTCAAATGTTCAACCCTTGAGCCACACTGGTTGGAGGCGGTGATGTTATTTTTTAAGTAACTTCTTAAGCTTGAGAGTTAAACTGACAAATACCCACATAGAAGCGATGCTTATGTATATTTTCTTCGTTTAAACAGATTTTGTTTTTACAAGTTCATTCTAGCAAATGACTACAACTTTAGAGATCTGGTGAAAACCACGCTTCTTAATTGATATATTCTGACAGTGTCTGGTGCTTATGAGAATGGTATGGATTTCTGAGTATTTGTTGAACTGTAAAAATTCCTGTTCCCATTCCTATCCTATGCGACATTAAACATATCACTCATGTGGATTTTAACACAGCGTGCAAAAGTGTTCCTAAGACACCCATTTGCTTTTGAGTCTGCCGCAGGGACTTCTGTCTAACTTGGCCTGTGCCTTCTGACCCTTGGGATTAATTAGAGACAGGCAGAATGTTTCTCCAGGCTTGCAATTCATGCTCATTAATTGTATCTTAGAGAAACAAGATATTAATTAAATTTACAATGAATATTAGGACAAAAAGCATGTATCATTTTTCTGTACAGATGTACCCAGTGTCTATGTGTATATCTGTGCTTAGTATGTCTGTGTAAATAACTTAATTATGAATTGTTTGTCTGAGATATTGACACACACACGGCTATTTCAGGAGAGAAATCCTGACAATTGTATTTGCGAATAAAAAGAAGATATTGGCAGTACCCATTCATTCCCCCAAAGAAGCGGGCTAGATTAAACATTAGCGTTTGTACTAATTCCACAGAAAGTCCCTCCGGGAGCTGTTCTAACATTCCAACGTCAACATTTTCAAAGAGTGCATTTCCCCCAGGGAGGTAAAAAGATCTGGATCTGTATACTTTAGTCGAGGATCTGAACGGTACAGGAGAAGTCAATGGAGGAGGAGAACAGGGAGCTATTTGAATTCAAAAGCACTAATTGCTTCAGATTTCTTCCTTTAAAAACACGTATTTGTCCCATTTTTCTTTTGATTTTCCTGCCTGGGAGATAACGACCCAGTGCTGGTTAAACACGGCAATCCCTTTCTTAAAAATGACATATCGATTCTCCTAATGGAACTGTGTCCTTTATTGAATGCTTACAGACTTGCCTTTGCTGAGTAAGTCAATGGAATGCTAATCAATAAGCCGGAAATGTCTGGGCAGTCATCATTCTATTTTTCTAATTGGGGCTGATATAAAATGCATACGTACAGCTTTAAAAACAACAACAATACAATCGTCATCAGGGTGCGGACCAGCCAGCAGAAAAACAATCTTAGAAGCCCCCTGCCTTACTGGGCTGGCTTCCATACCCACACGCCCCAAATTGGGTAGCTTAGCTGACAGGAATTCATTTCCCCCCAGTTCTGGAAGCTAGAAGTTTAAGGCCAAGGTTTGGTTTCTTGTGAGGGGTCTCTCCCAGAGTGAAGTCAGGGCAGGGTCCGCACCCCTGGGTAGTTTTCCTGGGCAGGTCCGCAAAGTGAGGCTCCGGCTGAGACCCTCTGGTGCCCTGTGCTCTCTCCGTGGTGTCCCCCGGGCCACTCGCCAGCACATCCTACAAACAGATGCTTCCCAAGTGACTGATGGGCTGGCGTCTTCTCTGGCCGGTCCCTGTGGCTGCCCTCCTGTAATGTGTGTAACTGGGAGCTCACCCAAACTCGGGTTTAAATCTTCTCCCTCAGCGTGGGTGCAGTCTCTCCGGTCAGTCCTGGCCTCCCGTGGATGCCACGTTAATTTCTCTCTCTGGTGGATGCAATGATACACAGCATCCTCAGCTGGAGGTTTCTTTGTCCTTGATCTCAGCCCATTTTCAATGACTTGGGGAGCTCTGAGCCTGACCATGGAGTTGAAATAAGATGGCAGTGAGTCAACAAAGGGGACGTACATTTCTTTAGAAAAATGGGGGTCAATAGCCAAGTCCCACTCCCATCACCATTCCAGGCTGCCCTCTCGAAGACAACGGCCAGCTCGGTGGTCTGTCCGGGACGCGCACAGGGATCTAATTTTCCAAGCGGAACGTTAACATACTGCGCCCGGGGACTCTGCCTCACCCGCTCCCTCTCCGGCTCCAAATCAATGCCGTGGCCCGCAGCCCTGGCGTTATGGGGCGCGAGGGAGTCTTCACTGCCGTGAATATTTAGAGGAATCTTGATTACCACTTGCCTAGCAGCGGGCTGGTTTCACAGCCGG